CAGGAAAACCTACTTTTGTTGCCATTTCCTTGGTTTTTTATCAAGGAAACTGTACTTTACATTCGTTTTACTAAGGGCAAGCATCATTTTCCTTATGTTCTAGCTGGGATTTGTGCGATCAACCTTGTTGTTGTTGTTGTTGTTGTTACGAGCCGAGCTCACATTGTACATGCTGATGTTCACGCAGACAACGTGATGCTAAGGTCGGACCCGGCCTGCTTGGTCCTCATCGACTACGCAGGCTGCACCGGAGACTCGGTCTACCCACTGCACCTCGGTTACGGAGCCTCGGGCTACGGCGGCGTCACGCATCGCCCCCCTACGCTTGAGTCACCGCCGGAGCCGATACGGACCGCGCACGGCGACTACTACCGACTGGCTCGCACCATCCTGAAGCAGCTGTACATTGGCCCTGAGCCATCCAAGAGGAAGCACACGGACAAGGACTCCGCCCTGCCCTCACACCTGGACAAGGAGCTTCGAACATGGCTCGAAAGGGACACCTGGCCTCGTCCACCCGGCCCCACGTCTCCCTTCCCCCCAGGATCCTGGCAGGACTCAGCGATCTCCCCTACTATCACTCTGCATGCCTCGCTTTGAAGGCCAACGGCGAGGTCAAGTATGACACGGCGACCTTTACCTCACCGGCCTCCAAGTTCGGCAACTCCAATGGCACCCTCGTCCCAGAGGGTGTTGCAAGCGAGGGTATGCAGGGCACGGGGAGTTGGGAGAGGTCAGCAATTTCGGCGAGATTTTTTCTGAAATGTCAGCTGAAAACCTGTGGATGCTTTGTCCGGACCATCTATCAGGAGATCTTCCCCTGGCAGGCTTACTCCAACCAAGATGGTTATCTTGTCCCGTCCAACCCTCCCCCTCCTCCCCCCGCCTCCTCTGAACCCGCGGAGTCTCGGACTACAAACATGCATTCGGACGGGGGCTTGGCCCACCAAACCTCACGGGCTGCGCCACCTACACCCGCCTCTGTCTTCGCAGACCGTCTTCCGGGCATATGGGGAGCCGGCCAAGAACAGCAGCTTTCGGGGCTTCCAGACAGGAGCGAAGTGGACACCCAAGCGCCACCTCTGTCCGGTGCGCATGCAGACTTCTCGGCTCCAGTGCAGAATGCCATCCGAACCGCGGCGGCAAACCTCAGTGTGGCCATCAGCTTTGCCCAGGATATGGAGCAGTCGATGCCCCAAAATACCCATCGCTCTCTGGCGCTGTCCCTTCGGACAACTTCAGACATCTTGCGGGAGGTGTCCGAGGAGCTCCTAAACGCTGCCCGCAACGAGGCCATCTCTTCAGCGCAGGGCTCTGAGGCTGATGACCAGCAAATGGCACAGGCCGACTAGAGGCCGTAGTCGTCACTGAATGGGCTGCAGCTTTTCTCTTATACGCTTTCACGCTTTTCCAAGGTTTGTTCAGAGAGTTGGCTCAATTGCTACCTCATATACTGCTGCGAGGCCTAGGCGCAAATAAAGAACGAGCCAATGCTGTAGCCGCGAGAAGTAGCACGGCTAGCCTTCCGTCTTGGTTACGGCGCAGCCCTTTTTGTTTACCCCAGAGTGAGTGATCCTAGTATACGCTGCTTGAGTCGCAGCATGTGGCATCTTCGGCCTAGCTCTGCTGGACGCGTGGTCATCGACCTGGACCTCCACACCCCCCAGACGGAGGCTCGGCCTGCCGCATCCGAAGCGGAGACTCGGTCTACCAAGAAAAGACGAAAGGAGGGGCCAGGGCCAAGCTCAGCAAATACGTCTCAAGGTCCGTCTGAGCTGGACAAACAGCGCCAGGAATC